CAGAGTCACAGGGTCCCGGGGAAAGGGGGGCAAAGGGTGCCATGAGCTCACCGTAAAAATCAATTACAGAAGTAAAAGAGAAATGAGCTAAACATTAGTAATAATTTCCTGTTTCTCAGAGAGTGAAAGCCAGACATAATCAGTGAAAGTATTGCACCAAGGTTTGAGTAGTGAGATGTATTCCTCATTTTACATAGTGTATCATTCATTATGGAAATCATTGTGTGGTCTAAAGTTCAAATATATTGATTAGGAAAAAGATTATGTTCTACATACTGTTAATTGAAATAATTAACATTGAACAGAAAAAAAAAGGTTGATATGAAATAAAAGCTGTACATTGTTTTGAAAATATCTAGTTCATAGTTTTCCATACATCTTACCACATTTTCCAGAACTGGATTAAAAAGAATTTTCTTGAATTTGTCACATGATAATTAATTCCATCTCTTTTTAGGCTGGTCTAGGTCAAACTTGTGAGTTTGACCTAGAAATTATTACAAAAATTGTATATTTTTTGGATATAAGGAGATCAGATTGGGTGATTTTTTACAACTATTACTAGGAAAAGAAGTATTAAATGCAAACATAAGTTGATAAAACCATTGATACAGACATGCTTCCAGCTAAATCAAATCTGCAGTGTGCCAAAATGACCTCAGGAAGACACACATCTCAAGAGGTACTTTTTCTTTACAAAAAATTGACAATATTCCATTGATCTCTTCTAGATGCACAAAAGCTGAATCAGTTACACTAAGCTTTAACTATTGCTATTTCTGTCTACTCAGCCTTAATTCTACTTCTCATCTACTTCCAGGAGCACCATCTTAACTCCAAGCTGTCAGTGCTTCCAAGATTCTTCATCACTTCCCACTTTATAGGAAGTCTTCTCTCAAATATGAGGTATAATCTCTTCTGGAAACCACTGCCAGCATCAGAACTACATTGCGCAGAAGATGCTTACTGTCTTCACTCCCAATCCTAATATGACAATACCTAAAATATCCAACAATATGTGAACCATAAACAGTAGCTCTTTGCTGCTCAAGCAAATTCGCATCATTTGGCCTCTGCCTTAAAGCGAATGCTGAAATAATTTATTTCATGCCACAAAGTAAATAACTGTGTGTTCCTTGTTCAAAGTAGCATTTAATCCAACCCTGGCCCTAGACTGACAAGGCCCATCAACCCCTTTGCCAGCTGGCTGCCTGTACATTTATTATCTCTTGCATGGCCTTGCAAATCCCAGGAAGTCTAGACTAAGTCTCAGCCTTATTTTCTTTTGCTAACCTGGACTGTTATCAAATGCATTTATCTCACCAGCACCTTCTGCCAGTGCTAGATTGCAGCTGAGCCAACAGCTGTCTGCCTACCTCTAGAATTCTGTGTAATTCGGCATCTACTTTTGAGATGCATTCTATGATTTTTTGGACAATTGGTGGCTAAAGCCCTAATTTCAGCTGTAACTCTGCCCAAGTGAACCCAGTCCACTCTATTTCTTAATCAGCCAGCAGAACACCCCAAACACCAGCACAAAAAAACCCAGCACCAGACAGTCTCTCCGGGCAGCAGTGCTTAGCTAAGGCTTGTCAGCCCTAGCACTACAAAAGACAACACCAATACAATGCAATCCTAATCTAAATACCTCTAAAAGCCTCCAGATAAACATTTGTGCAATTCAACTTTATGCATCATTCATGCAAAGGGCTGGGTTTGGGTAAACAGTATGAATAACTCATCAATACCGGGGATGTAAAACCAGCATCAATATAGTCCAGCCTAGATCTATTCCTACAATTATTTATCCTCCAAACCAAACCCAAGCCTAGATAATACCCTTCAGTAGACCTTGTTTTAAACCCACTGATCTTTGCTGGCTCACACCTCAGCCACAGGATTAAGGCCCTAGCTGTGCAACAATCAGCCTGTGAAGCAAATCCTGACAGGCTGTGCTTTGCCAGCCTCAGTCTTCACTGGCAGTAGCTACTGGTGGTTCCTGTAAGCCTGCCACTAATGCATTTCAGATTTACAGTCATCTGGTGATGTCTACTCTCATTATATGGTCATCTGACAGTACTGCTTCACCCTGCTCAAAAAAGAGCAGATGCAGGACATGAACTGAGTACCCCAAGATTCTCTGTTTAGGGTCTGAAATATACACTATCAACAGAGATGTTTTAGCACAGACAAGTGAACAAACACGACACCAGCAACAGAGCAGGTCAGGGGCAGCTCTGCCGTAAAGGGCATGCCCCCCTGTTTGATATTACTACTCTTATCTCTAGACCACAGAAACAGATTTCCAAATGGAAATGGAACTTCATTTCTTCAGGATTATGTCAAAGACAACAAAATTTTCTTACAGGAAAGAGGCATTTCTATTTATGTGAACCAGAATTTTGCACTGAAAACATTAAAACAGACAAATCATCAGAATTTAGGAAAAGTAATTCTAGTGGGATTTAAGTTTACTGACACATTTGCCAGGTCCTTTGCCTTTCAAAAATTTAAGTTTACAGAGCAGACTTACAATTCTCAAATGATCAATATAAAAAATAAGAATATGAAAAGCTTCACTCCTGCTTCAACTTTGTGATAGCAACTTCTAATTACAGCAGTTTTAATGAATAATTTCTATTATTTACACATCTTGTGAAAAGATTGCAAATAATTTTGCATATGAGGAACATACCATTGATTATTACACAGTAAAAAAATCCAATAATTATACAACTCAGCTCCTCCAGAAGCAGCATGAGGTTTCTTCTTAAATTTTAAAGCACTTTTTGTTACCAATAAAGAAAGTTAAGTGTTAACTCTTACATTTAGATTCTACTTCTGAATTATATCCAGATGTCTAACTTGACCTGTCTTAACAAGAGCATTCAGAGTCAAGTGAAAAGGATTACAAAAATAATTTGGGGAACAATTACTCGTAAACTAGAGTTCTGCTACATCTACAAATTAATTTAGATCTGTTCTCATAAAAATCTGCCTTGGCCCAGAAAAGTAAATCTTGACACCCAAAGAGATCCCACTTTTTAAGGAAAGCTTACTAACACGACACAGAGAAATATTTAATCTGATTTTTTCAAATAAAAGCACTTTAACTTCAAAACCTGAAGGGAAAATCATCATGAATAAAGCAAGTATGAAAAACAATTTCCAAGCCTGACATAACTGAGAGGTAGCATCTTGATTTTCATGCAGCTGTACATGCATCTATGCATGCTTATATCTGGTAAAATTTAACAAAATAAATATTCAGAAGAAAAAAAAAACTTCTTAGAAAAATAATTTAATAGTGCAGAATAATATCTGTGTTACATGAAGCAAGACCTGAAGTATCTTCTATAGCTGTTGATTAAAAAATGAACAGTGATTCAAAAGAAGAGATTTTTTCGGTGCCTAATCTGTTGCAAAATTTAATTCTAATCTTAGAAAAGATCCTACAACCATGAACAGTGGGTTGACGGTTTTTGGTGTATTTTTCTATATCCACAAAAGACAATAGATTTAACACCTAATGAGTCGTGTTACTGTGACTTTCAACAGTGCAAAGACATAGCAGAACTCAAAATAGTTTCACCTCAATTCAGCAGTGTCTGTTCTGCCGATGCCTAGCTGGCTTGTACATTGGTTGGACTGTCATCATTTACACAGAGTACGCCTTTCCTTTAACCAGCACTTCTTACCTTGCTTTGATAGACAAGGAAATAGAGACACCAAGGGATAAAGCTATTTTCCCCGTTATAAAAAACTACAGTGGAAATATAGGGAAGAGAGTACAACCCTCTTGTTGCCCTTGCAGGACAATTGGTCTACGTGATTAGCTGCTTCCCACAAATACATTATAACTAGGCTGCCAGAAAATCCCACACAGCAGAAATAAAACAAAGAGAGAAATACAGTTTACATTGAACTGATGTTCGCCATCTCTGCATCAGCTGTAAAAGAGGTAAATGAGTTTTGCATATTTGAATTGAACAGTATCTATTTTAGCATGGCATTTTTGTTCTGCATTCAAAGAGGAAGGAAGATAATCCTTAGTCCAGGCTTCTCCTTGTGAAAGAGTTCTGAAAATTTTAATTTACTTTTTCAGCTAGTAACATACCATGTTAACAGGGGACAGTCTACAGGACTGTGCTACTTCCCAAGCTAACCCATTCCATCACAACTCAGCTTAACCCAGGACAATCACTTAGGACATTTTCCATGTCACTGTTCAAACCTCTAGCTGCCATTAGCTCAAGGTTAAAACAAATGCCATCTACTTCTGAGGCTTATAGTGAAAAATTTACATAGTCCTGGACATGATACAGATTTTGCAGCTTTACAGCTGAAATCCTTCAGGTTCCTTGGACCTACTGGAAAAGGATTTATTTTGTTGAAACTCCCAAATGTTCATTTTCGTATGTTTGTTTTCCCACAGAATGTGTGCATGGCTTCCAGCAATGTGTTTTATATTACCTGTAAGAATAGAAACGCTCTAATGGGAAGAAATAATTTTCCTCTTATTGCCAGTGCAACAAAAAGCAGAACTTCAAAATGATACCACAACTTCTCAAGAAAAGTTATCCCATTTATTTTAGACCTTGGAGACTTTTCACTTTCTTTCAGTCTTCTGTGCAACTACACTAGTATACACCCAACAAACTATGGGCCAAAGATGTATCTTTCTACTTATCACAGACAAAGAACTGCATGCCATTGATTCACAAGTACCTCAGTAGTGCACATAGAAAGTAATCTGTGTTTTCTTGAAACAAGTTCTTTTTAGGGCATATATTGGCTATGCCTTTCTTGACATAAGTGCAGTCTCTCTCTCCTGAGGAGCTTCCCGTGAAGTTTTCATCAGATATACAACAATAAAGAATTACATGTAAAGTTCAAGAGATAACCTGGATTAGGCTTTATGATAAACATCTACTGGAAATCCTAGTACATCTTGTCTTACTTTATGTTGCTCTAAGATGCCAATGACCAATGACCCTCACCTTGATAGTAAAGTCTGCAGTGAGAGGCCCAGATATTCTTAAGATCTCCTTGTCAGGAAACTTCTGGAAATCAATGCTAGAATTTTCTACAAGGAAGGAGCCAGTGGTGCTGAGGCTGTTTTCACTCTTCACACCTTGGAGAGTCTTAGTTTCCAAATCTGACAAACAGAAAAAAACTGTCAGGAAACCAGAGCATTGCAATTTAAAGTGAGAGCAAAAAAAAAAAAAAAAAACCAAACGAAAAACAAAAAACAAAACAAAAAAAAACCTAGCAAAAATTAGTAATATTGCAACTCTTTTCCCATGGATGTTCACATTTGCACACTTTCCTTTTTTATTCTTCCATATGCTTTTTGTCTTTGTTCAACCCTTGGATTTTTAGCTCACATTCCCCTCCTCACCCATAGATCATGTTTTTACTCTCTTCCAGACATACTAATCCATTCATTGTTAGGCATATTTGTCGTTTTTTTTTAAACTCACCCTCAGTAAGTCACGCTCCTAAGTGGAGCGTGACTCAGACCTTGGCCCATGAGCACTGCTAAGTTTCTGTACCCTCTTTCAGTTCAGAGGTGGGTCACTAACCACATGTTGTTGTAGTAGACAATTAACTGAAAGCAGGATATTCAGGAAAGAAAGATCAGTATGACAGCAATCCCATTTCCTCTCCAGAAACAGTCTGGCCCATCTCAGTGGAGTAGAAGGGGAAAGTGGGTACTGAACCCTCCTGAGTTCTCCATCTGTTTCTCTCTGTATTCGCAGTTCTGCAGAAGGGCATTAATTCAGATACTGCTTTGTAGTAGGTCCTTCTGATTGTCATATTAAAAGTAATGATAATTTCTTAAATAAAAGTCAACAGTCAGAAACTAGGTCTGTTTCATCATTCAGCTAGCCACTCTACCAACTCCATATTATGCTTTACAGCACATTCATCAGTAAACAGTTTCTGGTAGTTATTTAAAAACAACAGGGCCTTTCATAATGAAAGATTACAAAGCTGAAAACCTTTCACATATATTTATGAATATAGGCAGAAAACCTCCAAGACAGTGAGACATCTAAGGCATAGCATTAATCTATGATAGAGATATATTTTCAAAAACAATCTTTTATTTGCATATATTAATTTGCTAAATAGGGAACAAAAATGTAATTGCAGTAATTAGACTGCTTTGCATTATGGATTAAGGGTACTAATTAATGAAGGAAGTTGCTGAGGCAATACACTAAGAATTTTCACTGTAATGATGAATTCCTTGGTTTTCAGTGAGACCAGTCTCGTCCTTTGTGATGCACTTGGCCATCTATTTATTTTTGGCAAGGCTGCATGCAACAGGAGTAAAGATGGTTTTAAGACTTGTGTATATATAATCAGCCTCCTGTTGACTTCTCCCACAACTGAAGTTCACAGGGGAAAATCCTCCCTCCCCCTGAAACTGACTTTAGCTCATACATATATAAAATCCTTTGATGGGCAAACAGAAAGATTCATGGAGACATCTGAAACAAGAAAAAGATATATTTGAACTTATTAATTTTTACATAGTGCAGTTAATCTAAATCTCAACCAGTGACTGAAGCAGACCTTGCTGATTTCAAATCTTTTCGTTATGAAATATGACATGGCCTGAGTGAAGCTTTAGATCCATCTCTCCAGCTAAAATCTCATTTCTCTCTGAGCTGTCTTATAGCTCAATTTCACTGAAACAATAACAAAAGTACAAAATTTTTTACAGGGAATATCTGTATCAGAAAAGACAAGAGAGAAAAGAGGAGTGCATGTCATGTACTAGGAAAATAATATCAGCAATACTGGAGCAGCTCAAGAATACCCAAAGGGACACTTAAAACTGAAGTACAGGCAGCATTTGAACTTTAAACAAAAACATAATATATTTTTTTCTTGGTTTATAACCTTCATTTGCTGGTCTTTATCCAGAGCTTTAAATGTGAAGAATCTAGTGCTTTCTCAAACCAAGTAGGGAGCTACAGTACAGGACTAGTAAGCCATCCCTTATTTTGCTACCCTGTATAAAATTTTTGGGTGAAAGAAAATATGGAGGCAATGAAATTATTTGGTGTTTCACATCCTTTGCTGACACTCACGTTTGTACCTACACTGACAAACACAGAAGACATAAATGGTCTGTACTGCAGAAAATTCCTAAAGACTTTTGAAAAAGGAAAAGGGTAGCTCGACTTATCTTACAATAATTTCTGCTACTGAGAGGTCAAGCAGTACAGTTTGGGGTTTTATTCTGACAGTAAATCATATTTACTAATACTCTAATATTAATTTCCTGCTGATAAGAAAGGAAGCAGCTTGTGAGCAGCTACTGCACTGGAAGATGAGGGAGAGGGATGCCAGAAGCTTCTATTCATGAAATAAATGGATTTGCCTTCAGCAGAATATTCTCAAATCCTAAGACTCCTCCCAGAAAAGAGGGGTATATAGTCACTGGCATACACAGATGAAGCATGAAAATCTCATAGGCAAGTAACGGGCTAACAGAACTCAGTGGTCTTCACTCCTTGGAACAGTATCTCTGCAAAAGAACAAGATTTCATTTTTGTATGCAGTTTCAGATAGAGTGTGATTTTGTGTGTGAGTGCATATGTGCATCCAAGGGAGAGAGAAAGATCGTAACAGAAATGTGTTAAAGTCATGAGCAGCTTGGTGGCTGAGCTGAGCTGCAGGGAAGCTTATACTTTACTGTTCTCAATATTTCTTCACTCAGTGGTATGTACTTTTTAAATTTTAAACAAAAGCACTTGACACCAAGTGAGCCAGCCAAAGGATAAGCAAACAGAAATGACTGAAAAATTATGGAGGAACAAAGAACTTTGCACTGTTGGCTTTGAAAAGAGTGTACCACTGAGATAACTGGGTCTGAGGAAAACATCTGAGGGCAAGACTCATCTGTGTGTTGAAATCAGTGATCTGAGAGAGGGAAACCAGTGTAAACAGAGCACTGCAGGTTACCAAGGCTCTCTTAAACAAGGGTACACCAACTTCTTCTACTTACATAAATGATCAGGTCCTTTCAGCACGAGGCGAATCTGTCTACTTCCATAGGGAATAGCAACCACTGTATCATCCACTGTGTGAACGCAAAAACACATGGAGAAAATAAGCAAGGAAATTCCCATCTGTTTTAAAATAAGCATTGAAATAGGTATTTACAAGGCAGTCAAAAGAAAAACCTTAGGACCAATTAAAAATGCCAAGACATATTATTAAAAATGTGAAAAAGAAACTTGTTAAATGTAGTAAGAAACTTCTGCTTAGAGGAATCCAAACCTGTTGATTTTATATATCCCAAACTCCTTCACAACTATTTATGGTTTTCATGAGTAACTAAGAAGTTTCGATTTCATCACAACTCCACTTAAACTCTTTAAGTATTTTGAATCAGTATTTGTGGTGAAGTAGAGAAGCCTAAGCTTATTATGATACTTAACCAGAACAGCTTTCCCATTTCTCACTTGACATTTTCCCACTTAAACCCCACAGCTCCTCCATGATCCTGTCCATGTTATGTGATGGTGTCCTAGTGCTCTCAGTTATCCCTTTCACACCTCTTATTTTAATGACTATAAGGGCTATAATTCTGCTTCCTTTTCTACACTGCTAGCAGAAAGCCCTGGAAAAGCAGAAGCCCATTGGACTGTCATGTAAATAGGCATTAAAGAAGGATATTGCACATATGAAGCCCTCGGCAGCTTTGCCAACTGCATTTTAACCGAGGTGTGAATTAACGTATAGGTCACTTGCAGCTGTGAAAGTTAGTTAGGTCAGCATTTCTAAAGAGGCAGCAACCTCAGAAATGTCCTGAAGGGAGACACAAAGACACAGAAAGACGACACCAAATGTTATACTTGCATTATGAAGTGGTCTGCCCAGAGCATGCTGACCTGGACTAACCAGCACATTTCATTCACCTTTCCCTGTCCTTTCTGCCTTCTTCCCATGAAACTGGAAGCTGGGAAAGAAAAGGTATGCATGCCTAAAAGGATTTCTTCTGGGGAGTGAGAAAGTTGTAGACGTGTGAGGAAAAAGTCTCTTTTGCTATTTCTTCATTAGAACTGCTCACATCTGTGTTATGAACTGCCTTCTAGCAGGAGCTACAGCTCTGCTCTCAAAACAGTGTTTTGCTTTGTCAGGTGAGGTCAACTCAGACAATAAAAGCATTTTATCTTTTATTCAAATATATGAGTTGGGGTCTTACACTTCTGCCCAGACAAAACTGGGAAAACACTTGGAACCCAGTTAAATCAGGATTGTCACTTACTAGTGGAATAGATGTTGATATTGTCATTTTATATCAAAGGTGGAGAGCCAACAGACAGAGGAAACACTACCAGAAACAGGAACTTTTAAGCAATATATTCATTCATCCAATACATTCATTCATCCAAACCCAGAATATCTCAAAAACTCTGAACTAAAACCCTTTCAGTTAAATTTTAAATTCTGTAATGCAACAAAAGAATTCCTGACACTCTTACTTTTCAAAGCTTTATGGGATTAAATACTCACACTTTTGCTGCCTCTTACTACTCCAGAAGTGAGGCAGAAATGTAAGCAGTCTCTCTAAGTGCCACAAAATTTGTGTGGACATAAGAACTGTCCCATTTTCAAGTTCTGATTTGATATGTTTTCTCAAACTATCCAAAATTTCAATGTCTAAGTCTTTTGTAACTGGGTTTAATTAAACTCAACACAGGTTTTGCTCATTCACATCCCTGATACCTCACTGATTAGTAAAGCTAGGAATCTTTCATATCAATACATAATTCAAATTTTGTATTTGGAAAGACAAATATTCAATTTATATTAAAAAAATTAAATACTGATATTCTAATACTGCTTAATTGGTACTATTCTAGCATTCAGATTCAAGATACCCAGTAGGATAAATTATTTTATCCATTGGGGAACAAAATACGTGAGTATGACACATTTTGCTGTATATATACAGCCTTTTTTGGACTGAGTTTGGAAAAACAGTAACTTCAATTAAAAAAAACCCCCAATATTAATGATTTTTATACAAGTCTTATTTAAAGACAGTCCCATGCCATGATTATATCTGACTGTCTCTCAGTTACAAGCTCTGTGCTGCAGAGTTACAACTCACTGACATGTCACAGAAAACACGGACAGTTTAAAGCCCATGTGAGCTTATATTCTCAGCCTGCATCTCCTGCCCCAGGGTATTGCTAGGACTATATTTCACCTGATCTTGTTGTTGCTTTCAATTTGAAATCCTAGCACGCTTTATGTGAAATGCAAAGCTCAGTGGGATTTATGCTTATCTTCTTCTGTGAAAGCAGCTCTTCCTGCTTTCACAAAGCAGAAGCAGGGGGGATTGAAGGATAATTTCCTGAGGTTAACAGTGATAAGGGGGAGACATTTCCTGTGAAGAGATGTGAAAGTAAGCAGGCTAACATTTAGTCACAGCTCCCCCCAACAATATGCAGAGAGACAGATTGTTGAGCAGCTGTGTGGAAAAGAAAGAAAATGCTTTAACAGGTGGTTGGTTTTCCCTGCCCATGCACAGAAGCAAAGGAAGGTCCCAGATAACTGGGAAAACAGTGGCTCAAGGCTGAGAAGAAAGACAACAGTTAACTGTCATGTACATGCACCAGATTCCCACAAGAGAGAAGTTTCTTCTAGTTTTGGATTTTTAATTTGGATTTTTAATTTGGATTTTGGACAAATGGTTTGTCAGTTCTCATGATGAAAAATGGAGTTTTTTCTATCTCCTGATTACTACTGATATTCAGTGGAAATCTGGAGCTACATATATTTTTGACAGCCATAACAAGAGTAATTTGGTGAATATCTAGACAGCATTATACTTTCTACAAATCTCTTTTAAACTACTCTATTCTGCTAGTAGATGTCAATCCAGATGTTTTAGAGAAATACAAACTTTGCACTAGGTGATCAGCAGAATGCACTCACAACTTATGGGACTAACTCTCTAGCTTCTTGGTGAACACAAGGAAGCCTGCTTAAATGCATCTTATCTTCATAGGAAGGACATACAAGGTTCCCTGAAGAAGATACTAAATAAAAAGAGAAAGATGTATTTTCTGGAGACTTCTAAAGAACCACCCAAGCCACCTAAGAAAAAAGAATATTTTTGAAATGAATGAAGGTTTTTGTAGCCTTTCTATTATTAGTCTTACAAAAGTATAGACTATTTACTTTTTCTTAAATATGTAACATAGAATTCAGCATCACACTACATCTTGCCCTACTATGTTTCTGTCTCTGAGGCCACTCTGTGTACTACCCCTATAAATAGTGGAGAAACTGTTTCTGTAGGAAATGCTAAGTGCTTAAAAGTGCTATGAATTTCTTTCTTATGCCTTTACATGATATAAACAACAGGGATAAGGGAACCAGATGTGAGCACCAAGAGAAAATTACTTTAGTATGATGAGCTCAAGACTGTGTTTGGAATGGTTTTGAGATTTAAACAGCTTCAGAAATATTGGGCCAGCCCTGGAGTAAAGGTCAACTGTCCAAGCCCCAGAGCAGTCCTCAGGACTGAATTCTGTTCCTAGGGAAACAAAAATCCTGAGTGAGGCCAAATATCTAGTCACTGCTGATATCTAGTCACTGATGTACATTTCCCCTCTGATTTTTCTAATGCTGCATGGCAGTCTGGCTTTTAATCCCTTGTTTAGACCACAGATAAAATACACATAAATCTAGAAAACCAGGATTATTTTATAAAGATAACTTGAAATTTAGCAATCAGCTAGTGAATCCACTAGTTAAATAAAATGAATAAACAGGATAAAATGAATGACTGGATAAATAAAATTAATAAAGGCCTGATCACAGATTTGCAAGTGTATTTATGTTTATAGTGACAAATAAGCAAGATCCTGACACAGATGAAGTGCCAACAGAGCTGGCAAAATGGGGAAAATGAACACAATAGATTTTTGAAAGAATTTCAACATTTTAAATCTCAAATTTCCACAACATTTATGTAAATCATTTTGAAGTCAACCACAAAAAAAAAAAAAAAAACAAACATATTAATTCATACATGTGAAGGGGATTCATAACTGTGTTTTTAAGATTTTTAAAATCCAAGTTAAAAAAGACCTACTATTCATAGATTCAAGGTTCACTGTGTTGCATAAAAACATGTATGTTTACAGCAGGGATTGAAATAATACCACAGTATACAGACTACACATAAAATCTACATTTTTTCTAGCTCTGCATAACAATTATATACAGGCAAATGTGTCTCAGAAATCAGTTCTCTTACTTTTTTTCACATTTATCTCAGTCTAAGACTGTGCTCTTAGCCATCTGCTCTATTACCTATATAACATTCTTTACATTTAATAGGAAACCATTGGGAGTAGGTACTGTGTTTTACTAACATTTTAGTCCTGTGCATAATGTATTAGTGACTTTATCCTCAGTAGAGAAGATATGAGCATCTTTTTACCACAAAGCAACTAAAACAAATTAATTTCTCCTACAGGAAAAGACATTTACAAAAAAAAATTCACAAACACGATTATGTCTCAAATCGCCTGGAGATTTCCAAGTCTGTTCCTGTCCATTGCAAAAAACTGAACAATGAGGTGAAATTCCATTCCCAAATCTTTGTTAATTATTTCCTTTGTCTTCTTGTACAATTCTGCTTCAGAATCTTCTTATGAGGATTATTCCTTTCTTTCCTTCATGCAGAAGGAAAGAAAGGAATAATCCCTTCCCTTCCCTTCCCTTCCCTTCCCTTCCCTTCCCTTCCCTTCCCTTCCCTTCCCTTCCCTTCCCTTCCCTTCCCTTCCCTTCCCTTCCCTTCCCTTCCCTTCCCTTCCCTTCCCTTCCCTTCCCTTCCCTTCCCTTCCCTTCCCTTCCCTTCCCTTCCCTTCCCTTCCCTTCCCTTCCCTTCCCTTCCCTCCCCTCCCCTCCCCTCCCCTCCCCTCCCCTCCCCTCCCCCCCCCTCCCCTCCCCTCCCCTCCCCTCCCCTCCCTCCCCCCCCCTCCCCTCCCCTCCCCTCCCCTCCCCTCCCCTCCCCTCCCCTCCCCTCTGCTCTCCCTCTCACTCGGCAAACACGGAGCCACACCTGCACGGTGCTATCAGCTGCTCTGTGTGCCATGCTCCATACCAATGCAGTTACTCTTTGGCAGAGAGAAGCTTTTGTAAAAAACAGCTTTCCCTGTTACAGAACCCACAAGTATACATACACTGTCTTCAACAGATATTACACTGCTATTTGATTCTTTAAAGTCATCTACTATTCAGCAATTGTAACAGAATGCTCTGGAATGGCAGAGCTGTATGATTTAACTCTAAGGCTGGGGGCAGGTTTTCAGGCTAGCACATGTAATTCCTTAGGTGTGTCTACATAAGCATGAAAACACACCTACTTTTAATTCTTCTTTCAAACTGACAAGACACGCCCTATTTCTCACCCCAAAAGTTTTATAATTCCATCTGTGGTGCTATAAACAGATTCAAACAATCTGTTTGGGGTTCAGGATAAAATAATCTGCTCACTGGGGTACATTAGTGCTACTTTATTACTCTCAGTTAAAACTGGATCAGCATGCAGGAAAGGCCATGTTTTTCTGTAGACATCTCTCTCAAGCCTGTGTTGGCTGTTTCTGACACCTTTGGTTCCTCAATCCCCCCTAGAACTGAGCAGCCGTGCTGAGCACACTGGCCCACATGATGCTCACAGGCCTTGGAGAGAGGACTCCTCCAGGTTGGCACCAAACGCCCGCCAGGGCTCCCCTCTGCTACAGAGCAGCACAAACCATTCTGTTCAGAGCAGCGTGCACTAAGTCCTGTGCCTAGCCAGCTAAAACACCCAGAGCGCTGCTGGAAGAGCCACCTCCTCCTGCTGTCTTGCTCTTCACAAGCAGCTGGCTAGCTGAGATGGGGCATATGCTGATGACACCTTTCCACAAGCCTCTGTCCACCTCCACAACCTGACCAACCGTCTGAGCAAAGCTGCTTTAACCCAAGAGGCAAACACCTTTGGAGACAACTAGACTAAGCATGTCTATTCAGGTGCCTAAGAAAGAGTGGGGTGAAATCTAGCCTGCAAAAAACGAAAACTTCACTAAAAGCGGAAGATGGCACTCTACCAGGAGGAACAGCTTACGTTTACTTGCAGAGAGCTGGGACTTATACTGGCCTCGAACCAGCCGGCAGGTGGACCCATCGCCATTGCAGACCCCGCAGTTATCTTCCTTGACAGCACTTCCCAGCTGGTGGTCACAGCCAACAATCTGGCAAGAAAGAAAGATGTGCAGTTCAACATGAGCACTTACCAACTGACTGCTCAATCCATGTCTGCAACTAATTACTCTAATTTTCTCTCTTAGCATCTCTAGAGGGCCATAAGGTACCTTAGCAACGAAAGAGGCTCAGCAATTCTGGCTGGCACTGTGCACTGAAGTCAGGTGAGAGATAAGGGAACAGGTTAGTACTCAGTGGCTTTTGCAGTCCAGAGGAAGAAAAGAGTATTGTTGGAGGTTGTTATTTTAGGGCATTGTGAACATTTTCTGGTCAGAGTCCTATCAGAAATTTCCCTTCTTAGAGTTTAACAAAGAAAAATGCCTGAAACGGATAAAAAGACAGATAGGAAGCAAACAGATAGATAAAATGAAGAGCAGCATGGGTCAATAGCAACATGGCTCTGAAATTTTACCTGCTATGCAGCTGGGGAAGCCATGTGGTTTTAATTATGTTTGACAATAATCCTATTCCACACTGTCAATGCCTGTGTTCAGACATAGCAAAAGATCTGATAAAGAAGGCTGGAATGGTTGCAACAAAAGATTTGAGAGTCATTGCATGAATGTAATTACCTGCTCTGAAATTGGCTTTATTCCCGCATGCAAATTGTTTGGTTAAAAATTTTAAGAGTTGAATAGATAAACTAGGTTTCTCAGTTTGCAAAAACTTTGTTATTCCAAGAAGAATCAAATAGTAATTTATAATTAAGTACATTTAAAATTAATGAATGGACTATTTGTTTAACACAATGCTAATGTAGGCCTTTTGCTTGAACTTTAGGTTCTGCATCCAAGTTATGAATTTTTTACATAATTAATAGAAATCCAAGAAATTAAGGAGTCTTTAAATGTTATAATTACCTTTTTAAGTACTAGAAAATAAAAGGCCTTCTAGCATTCTGGCACTCAGACTAAGCAATGAACAAATATTTGTCTATAACTTCTAATGAGGTTGCGCTAAGGCTCTTAGCCAAACAGAGAGGGTATATATATAAACACAGGGAATTTAAAATAAAGCGTTTTTTCAGCTTTGATTTTTCCCACATTTCTGAATTTTAGTTGAATCTGAGAACTATGTCCTAGAAAATGATGAGAGCAAACAGGGCACTTATCATCAAGCCTCATAAAAGCTGTATGTATAACTTGCCCACTAAAACATTCATAGACTAATATTTCTTATTTGTGCAAATCTGAGTGGGCAGAATTACATATCTCTGCTAGGGTGAGATATACTTCTGGATTTGACATTTGCTCTTCATTTGTCTATGAAAATGCAGGTTTTCATAAACAGTATTTTCTTTTAGCAATTGAATTCCCATTTCTAACATCATTATTTTATTAGCTGCAGAATAACTATTTCCTTGATTATCTGTCATATTGACAATATAATTAATTTTATTTAAATCATTATAGATTCAAGCTTGATGAAAGCAATCATCAAATTTTATTTATTTTACCTACTTTTTCCAGGTAAGAACTGCATCAAGCCTCCTATGCTTACACATTATACTATGATTCCTCTATGAGAATTAATGAAGCCTAAAGAAGCAACAGTCACAAAAATGATATATTTATTTGAAAAGCTAGTGATATCAAGACTGCAAAAGACATTTTAACAAATTAAAAATATCATGACAATTAATGGTTAGAAAAATGAGGCAAACATAAGCATATCTTGACTGTGATTGCTCCATCTACAAAACTTCCAAGCACAGAACTCAAATTGTATCCACAGTACTGTATAAGATTTTAGTTGGTTTTTAGCTTTTTTTTTTTCTGAATAAGAATATTCCTACAGGAGGTGAACAACCTTTGATATACACAGACTGGTATACTTTAACTTCCAGGAAAGTCACTGTGTAAAACATGGTAGAAAGAATAATTTGCGTGATCTGAAAACTGTATGTCAATGCCTACAAATCAGATTTTCCTTCTAGTGCATTAGAGATCACTAGCTCCCACAGTGAGAAGGGTCCTGCCGGGGAGCCCAGATAACAGAAGAAAGGTCAGAATTCCCTTTCATATCTGCTCAAAATTTCAGTTTAGAGTAGTTACACAAATCTTTATGCTTTTGCCTATTTTGAAATAAATATGTGAACTGCTCGGATAGGAAATTGTCTGGATCTTAACTCCAGGTTTGAGGTAACCTATTAAAAAACCCAGAATTTACTGCTTCAAAGCATTTTTAACTTTGTGAATCATCAGCTCACATATTGCTATGGGCTATACCCTGATTAAAGTTAATTTATAAACTGAGAAATTTGGAGCTAGGTCACAACTTGTGGAGCAAACCACCAGGAAAATCTCAGGTGTGAAAGGAAGTTATATTGTGGTTTGTTACTTTTTTCGAGTTGGACAGCCATTACCAATGTATGGCATAAAAATATTTCTTCTGTTGAAACACAGTGTTTCAAATGGAAGTATGAAGAAAGTGGAAGTATGGAAACTTTTGTAATTACTAACATTTCTGTGGCATGCACAAAATGTATATTAACCTTACTGTATTTGGCAGTGTCTCTGATAACTTTATGCAATTGAAAGTTTTGATGAAATTAAATGAATTTCCTATTTGTTCCCAAGGTCTCTGCAGAGAATTTTCTTTACTCTGTTAGATTATCTGTCTAAATAGATATGCAGAGCTCTGGGAGTATGTTTGGAATTTTCATTAAAAAAAACTTACGAGTGATTAACCAATGCCTGAAATAAAAAATATTCCCAAGTTTACTCCTTTTCCTTTTCCTTTTCCTTTTCCTTTTCCTTTTCCTTTTCCTTTTCCTTTTCCTTTTCCTTTTCCTTTTCCTTTTCCTTTTCCTTTTCCTTTTCCTTTTCCTTTTCCTTTTCCTTTTCCTTTTCCTTTTCCTTTTCCTTTCTTTTCTCATTACCTAGGGAAATTCTTCTATCTTTTGAAGGTAATTACACACGCTAGAAAAGGTTGCTAGTGTTTGAAATGGAGTCATTGATGCTTTAAAATGAAAAACACTACTCCAAATCTCTTATATGAGTTTTTAGTAGCTCTTACATGAAAACATTTTGCAAGCTGGACTTTTATGACAGCAAAAGATCAGACAAGGAAATATAAAGTGCTCCTGAAAAAATACACAGCTCATGAGAACAATATCTTTTGTCTCTGAGCAGAAAAACCAGAAGTTTGGTTGACTTGAGAACATGTAATTTCCATAACATAATTTTCACTGTCCATCAAGGCTGCAGAGAACTCATTGAAAAAGGTTATGGAATGGGTAGAAATACGTCACCACTTGCCAAGAAATCTACAAAGGGTTAACAAGGAACAGGAAGGCAGAATTGTTTCTTTCAAGCATCCACTCATAGCATGAACAAAACACAGAGGGAAGGTTTTAAAATGGCTATAATCAGAGATGTCGAAGACACTAGGAGAGGTCAGCTACCAAGAAAAGTAGACTGGCTTGGTCTGCAGAACTAGAAAAGTCTGCCAAGAGACTGACCTATGAGCATATTCACCTGATGACAGGTGGTTGAGGACCTTGTCATGAAATGTAAAGCCATTGACGGTAAGCATGGTAAGCCAAGGACACAGTAAGGATACTGTACCTCCAATATACAGCTCAGGGTAATGGTTTTGGGGACACAGTTTGAAACAACCTAGTGAAATTTTTGAATCAGAAGTTTAGGGAATATTTCACTCTCTGAAAATCTTTGAAATGTCAACTCCTTGTCTTGGTTTGAAGCTGGATCCAATGTTGAAATTCTGAAGTTTCTGTGGAATAGAAACTTCCCATTCCAATGAATTCTAGTTCTGATCTCAGTATATCCTGGGGGGTTTAGGGAGATGAAGTCTTTTTCAATCCATAAAGGTCTGAGAAGGAAGCCCCCCCTAGAGAGGAAAATGGATGACTACAACAAACTGTGACTGGAAATGTTCTGAAGTAAGCAGCTTTCATACTTAACATTACATGTTAGGTTTCATCCCCTTAAAGCAGGGTAATGAAGCACAGACAATCCACACTGATATCTTTTGAGTTTCAAGTTGCTGAAGTGCGGTCAGAGGCTTGAACTGCACATTGTTACTGCACAAAATGTCAGAAGTAGCTCCATTAAGTTGCCTGACTATCCAAACTCAATTAAAATCAAGAACATGTGAGTTTGATAAATTTTGGATGTAGCTCTTATGTGTTTCTAACGGTGCTTCTATGAAGCTCATGACTATTGTGGTTAAATGCCCTTAAAGCAGTAAAGGCAGACTTTGCAGAGCTCTGAAGGTCTCTCAGTATATGGAAAATGTCAGCCATGTAGCACCAGAGTGAGGAAATCACTGTTGAGTACCAACTGCCTGCCCAGACCTTCTTCACAACCTCTAAAGTGAGCTGATTTTTTATTCTCCTTATGGGTTTAGCGTAGAAAGTCTAGCAACAAAAAGCCAGAATAATAACAGCTAATCCCTAGTTGGCCAAGCTTGTATTGTTTTCTGGCACAATGTACCACAGAGAACTCAGAGGTAAAGATTCCATATTATATTTTAGGCTGGAGTCCCAGACTTCATGCTGAGTTTGACTCTCCCCCTCTTCTCCCCACCCAAGCCCCCCCCCCCCCCCCCCCCCCCCCCCCACTTACTGCACTTGACAGCCCATGGGTTGATAAAACAAAAATAAGGATATTCCTGACTCTGAGGCACATTGCAAAATAATTTTTACAGGATGCTGCAAGAAAAGAGATGGCTATCAAGTTAGCAGATCAACTGCTTGCATGTAGTTTAAAGGCATTGGGCTAAAAGTCCAGCAGGAGTTGGAACTAATCATTGAGTGTGTGCATGAGTGTTGTAAGTGCATGTGTTCCCCTTGTGGACTTGAATTCTGGCTCAGTTTAGTGATATTTCCAAAAATAAAACTAGACCAGCAATGACAGGTTCTGCTCCAGCCCTGCTAGTCTGGAAATGCCCTGAAGTAAGAAGTTTTCATAATAATTTCTATTCAGCATTAAGAAATTCTAGGCAGGAAATAATGTAATCAAGCAAG